TTTTTTTTTTTTTTTTTTTTTTTTTTTTTTTTTGCGCTAGCATAGCTATTGCCACACCTGGCTGCCCATTTTGATAAGTCTAACTCTCTACATATAACTTACCACAACGCACTCGCGTTGTGCAGGCATATAAAATAATGCCCCCTTTTCCATGGTGATAAGGCATCCATTGTTGGCATAAAAATTGGGCTCACATGGTCGCCTCACCAAACGTAAAAAGGGATACACTTCATGAGCGTAGGAAAAGCGAAGGAGGTAAACACTGAAAAAAAAAAAATAATGACCTATTGGGGGTGGAATGACGAAACGGGGAAAATGCAACCCCCCGCGGCGGGCTGCTCCACATGGTACGTTCCACATGTGTTGTAAGAAATGAGTCCAACTCGACTACCCTAGTGGGCATTTTCTACGCGAATGTGCAATTTCCCCCATGAGACATTGTGCAGGACACAACAGTGACAACTCCTGTTCCCAGATAATGAGTCTGTCCTCATGTGACAGATAAAGTGAGGACTACTTTCGGATGTTTTTATTCGTCCCCCCTTCACCCATATTGGTAAGAACTTTCTTTACCACACAGTATTTTATACCTTAGAAATTAGTTTTGTACCTATGGGGCATAACACCTTTGCGCGGACGTACACATCCACCTTCATTCGCAAAAACCAGGTCGAAGTTCCCATGGGTGTGTGGTCTTCCATTTAACGAGCATCAATTGGTGCCCATTTGAGGCACTGCTGTTTTGTGCACAAAAGAAAAAAAAAAGGCACTAATAACGGATTACATGAAAAAAGAAGGGCTTAAGATGGTTCCACGTGGAAGTTCATTTAAAGGTGTAATTGGTGGAGTGCACAAGAAAGGTGAAATAGAGTTCCCACTACCCACACCACATGGAGCTTCTTGTCTGAGTTGCCGCTTTAATTGTAAATAGCCTACTAGGCCTAATGATGTGCCTTACGGACCGATAATGTAAAGTGGGGTTTTCATCCGAATATGCACACATATTGGCATCTCTTTCTCTGTAGAGGCGGAATGGTCCCTTGCTCAAGTCGAGTTATATATACTTCTGATGTAGTGTCTGTTCTTCCTAAGTTCCATTTGTTTATTTACCGTTTTTTGGAGTTGCATTAGGAGGGACGGGTTTTTCGACTTGATTAACAGATTTATATCCTGCACAATTGGTGGAGTGAAAACGGCGTGAGGTGTCATTAAAGGGAGCGTACAAATCACGTATGAAATGCGCCTTATAGTATATAAATCCCGGATATATACTCTTATTATTGTTTCCCCCTTTCCTTGGGGTCATTTTCCCTCGTATTCACCTACTTGCAACCTTTTGTACATTATGGAATTTTTTGACTTGATGGCATTGTACCTGTAGGAAATGCTCTCTTTTATGGTTTCCTCGGAGGACTGGACAAGCTCGCACACCAGCAGATCGATGAACTTATATTCGACGTTCTTCACAAAAAAAAAAAAAAAAAAAAAAAAAGAATCAGCTAACTGCACAAAAACACAAATATGCTTTAAAAAGGAACAGGCACTGCATCGAAGAGCGTATTCCGTGCAGAAATCCCATTCTGTCCTTTTTTTCACCTTGATGAAATCCAGCCGAGCTTTTCCATTTTGCTTCACAGTGAGAACAGCCAAAAACCTGAGAGAAAAAATGAAAAAAAAAAAAAAACATACTCACAGGTCAGAATACCAAGTCATGTAAGGTGCCACAACGCAGGGTGAAACATTTTTACTGCTTGGTATGCATAACGAAATTATATATATAAAAAACAAAAAGACGTGCTGAACGGGGTGTAATCCATCTGCACCTGCGCGGGTCCCCTACACAGGAGTTGAACATTTTTATTAAAACTTCCAAATATTCCGAAAAATTAATCATAAGTTTTTGGCTGGCCTGCATGGCCTCAAACGAGCGTTCGTCTACTCTGTAAGGGAGGGCAAATAGGACGTTAAAAAAAAAAGGGGGTAACATGGACAAGATAAGCAGACAGGCAGACAGGGGTAGGTAAATTCCCTTTTCGAAAAAACGCAGCGGAGTGTCCCCTTACGATATCACCGCGCCTCATTCATTACGTTTGCGTAAAGTGAAAAAACAGGTCCGCTTCGCAGGTTAGCTCTATCTTGATGCGCTTGGCATTTGATTCTTCCCCCTGCAAGGTGGTGTGGACAAAAATAACACTTCTGTAGCTACGTTCACAGGATAAGGTGGCGCACTAAATGTAGGTTTTAATCTACACTGATGGAAACATCGCTCATGTGCAAGATCATGCGTGCGGTGTCAAGCCCTCTGCCCTACCAACACCAACAGTTTCACCGTTATAACTTCCAGTGAACCTATTTCCTGCGGCCCGTCGTTCGTCTGTTCCATCTTTATCTCGAATGGGACTTCTTTTTTGTAACAAGCTGTATAGCCGTCCGCTGTAAAGGGCGAGCGCATGTGAAGGGGTAGGCTCGTGTAGCATGAGTGCGGTGTAGTGTTAGCTTGTACTAGGTGTTAAGTAGACTGAAAAAAAGAACATCTGGAAGACTTTTCCTCGGCTGCTCACTTTTGACGTTACCTAATGATGGGTCTAACTCCTCCATGGCGGAGAAGTCAAACTGGCACAAAAAGTTGTTCACCTCATTTTTATTCATTTTTAATCATTTTTTGTTTTGTATTCCAATGGTATTATTAGCGGTGTTGCGCGAGACGGGGAAGAAGTTGGACGCACGTAAGGGAAGTAATTCTCCTCGCAAAAATGGGGAATGCAAACGTGCTTTACTTTGTTTTATATATATATATATATACATAGGTACATAAATATATTTTTTCCTAAGGTCTATTTGTTTCGGTGTGGGAATGACTGTAGTGGAAAACCTGTTCACTTACAATGTGCATACCTGCTTCATTTCAAAGATAGGAAATTGCGTTTTAAAAATCTCTCCCCTTTTAAGTAATTTATTCGGCATGGGTATAGGACAAGGCGCATTCGTCACTCCAGACATTTGAATGGATGGGCATGCGTATGCTCTGCACGCGTGTGTTATATGCACGAACATACGTATTTTTTTCTTTGTGCTGGACAAAAGCAAGCATATGTGCACACACGGTTACGCATGTAACATGTTCATGAGTGAGTAACCATGGGATGGAAAATCATTTTACAATTATCACCAGGTATACTTAAACCGCACTGTAGCAATTCCATTTTGAATGGCTTCGTTTGTGCGCAGTGATGTTATGGTCGCGCATGTTGAGTGAGCCAATAAATGGGGAAAAAAAAAAAAAAAAACAGCTTAACAAACCAGTTCACTAAATCCGAAGAAGGTTGTAAACTAATTTACAACGTGGAGGTAATTACGAGTGTTTGTAGAGACAAGCAGGTTTACACCATCTTGTATTTCCTTTCCCCACGGCAACGCCACATGGGTGTTTATTAGGTATGCCCTGAGCGCATGTCTGACTGTAGCTGTGGAGTTCATGAAAGGCAAGTATACGCTTCGCTGTCTGCGTGCATATATATATAGTTAACGCCCGTCTGCCGTTTTATCCAGCCCACACATGGAGGAACCTTCATAGACGTGTATTTCTGTCTGTTGTATTTACACACAGGAGTTAACATCCCCATAAAAAGGAAGCATGTACAAAGGGGTACATTTTGGGTTTACAGCGAAGAAACGGCAAAAAAAAAAAAAAAAAAAAAAAAAGGGACATAATGGCTAGCCACTGCTGTAAAAAGAAAAAAGCTTCACCAAATTAAATCTTTTTTATTTTTGTTATTTTTACACCCAATGGAAATGATTGTTTTGCTTAAATGTTTATCGTCCTCCAAAGGGTAAAAACACATATTTTTGCCTCATTACGTCCATTTTGTCTGTTGCTCCCATGCTTACCTCGAACCGCGTGACCCATTCTTTCCCTTTTGTTTTGTCCAACATGGGACGCTTCGTTCTTTTCCTCTTGCTCGCGTTTGTGTGTAGAACGTACGCGCAACTGCCCTATGATGTACTGGACATATATAAGGTTAGTTCTACGCCGCAGCTCCGTCGTTTTTAGAAGCATACAAGGAAAAAATGTTCTGTTGTACTTTACCTTTCCGCAGCCTTTAAATTCTCACTCTGTGAATGCCATTCCTGGGGATAAAATGAGTGAAGGTGAAATTGACTTTTTGTGTAAATCATAATATTTACATTTTCCTCGTGTGACTCTTCGCTGTTGCCAAAATTGTTCACATTTTTGTCTTTTGCCCACTGCGCAAGAATACGAAGTGAAGGACATCAAGGATGAAGTGCAAAAAGAATATTCCGAAAATTCTTTAAAAGTATATAAATTAAAAAGGAGTGCACATTTTTTTTCTTCACCCGTTAAGAATTAAGCGAATTTGTTTATTTTATATTTTTTTGCAGAGGCTAGCCGAAAGGTACCACAAAGATGTGGGCGAAAGTGATCAGAACATTTTGGAAGAGCTTGACCAGGTAATTTAATTTTAAAAATGAAAACATAAAATGAGTTGGAGAAAAACGTGGATGGTGAAGAAGGACAAATGAGGGGAAGGAAATAAATTGAGGGAATTTTATTCCTCATTAAAAATTTTTATCTTATTGTCTCCTCTTACATGTTGTTCTATTCAACATTTTATGTGCACACCCATTTGTCTCTCCCCTCCCAGCTTAACGACATTATAGGGGAAAGGACTCTTCACTTAAATATATTTTAAAAGGGGAAAGTTTCCCATGTTTGGCACTTGTGCCTGTCTTGTATTTTGTACCGTTGTTCATCATCTGTGTCTGTCCCCAATCGACATCGTCACAATTGAGAGATACGCCTTTTATTTTATTTCATTTTATTTTTTTTTTTTTTGAACAAATTTAAATTGTTATTTCCAAAGGGAGAAAAAATGTAACACATATGGCGATTTAGTACTTAAAAGAAATAAAAATGTGGAAGCACATGACCGGGTGTTACATGAAAGAATGGAACGACACGCGTAAGGAATGACACAACAAAAAAAAAACAAATTGGTACGCAGGTAAACTTATGAAATATTTTATACATAAAAGGGAAAGTATTACGAAAGCTAGTGATTATCAAGAAATATATTTAGTATATTTATGTATGTTTATACAAACGGAGGTACTTGAGAACGTGCAGGCAGCAATATGAGGAACGTCTTGCTGTCTGCTAAAAAATGTGCATTCATCAAACGTACAGAAAAATTAAAAAAAATGTTATTTTTTTTTTTACTTTATTCCCTGTTCGACCGTTTACCGTGTGCAAAAAAAAAAAAAAAACAAAAAAAAAATATGAACCTCCAAGTGGACTAGTAGTTGTAAAATGTTCCCCCACTCCTTTCAACGGCATCATTATTTTTGTCAACAAAAACGTTCGTGTTCACCAGCCATTCTAGGCCCTCTTTTAGTCCCTGCCCAGATAAGGTGCTACAGGCAAAGAATTTACACCTGAAGCGCAACTCCTTTGGAAGGGCGAAATAATTTATAATTTCCTCTGAGGGGAGGCAGCCATTAGCATCTTGCTTATTCATAAAAATTAAGAATTTACATTTTCTATATACAAATCGAAAGTCATATATGATTCTGATGAATTCTTCTCTGGCCTCACTTAGGGCACTTTTGTGTGCACTGTCGACAATGTAGATCACGTCATTTGAAACGTCCGCATATTCTTTTATTAAGCTGTATGAGCAATCTGTTCCTACCTCGAAGAAGGTCACTTCATAATTCTGTTCGCCCAGTCTGTTTTTGTCCTTTTGGATCTTCACGCTGAAACTTTCTTCGTTGATGAAGAGCGTTCTCACCTGAGGGCAGGAGTGGGTTTTCCGTGAGGTCATAGTAAAAGCGCACATTCGCAGAGCACCCTTACAGCCGTCTGGGAATGCGCTTTTCCGAGCAGTCAAGTAGTTAATTTTGTTTCCATTGGCCACATGGCAAAAAAATTATGTGCATCTCCCGTCTGTATGCTTTTCTCCGCTCTGTACAATTTTTTGTACAACTTGGAGAAGCTACAAAACCTCTACATGGAGGATACTACGTGATCGTTGTCACATGCCGAGGAGGGGAAGACCTGTGTGCGCGCCGCTGCCATTTCGTGAAGGTGTGCTTACCGTTGTTATGAGGTAGCCCAACTTGAAGAAGTAAATTATGGAAGTTTTTCCAGAGAACGGTAATCCAAAAATGATGAATTTTTTTTTCGTTGGATCCTTTAAACTAAAAAGACGATACAACATGAAAAAAAAATATAGAAATAAAATAAAATAAAACATTTTCGTAAAACATGGAAATATTTCATTTCCCTCCAGTTGTGAAGGAATGTATTTCTGTTCATACATATTACTTTGGTTCTTCTGTGCAACCATGCATTTTGAGTTAGAGGTCTTGTAGCCGTTCCGTTCCTTGCCGTGCGAGTTGGTGGTTGGGGGGGCGTGTTCACATGAAGGGCTGAGCATGTGTGTGGAGGGTACCTAACAGTAAGAGCAAATCAATGTGCGGCAATTCCTCTCGCGTACTAACTGCCGAGTGTGCTCCGGCCAACGCATTCATCGTTAGCCGTGCGTATAAACGTGTCTGCCGCTTCACAATTAATTTCCGAATGTCAAAATGCGCAAAATTAGCAGTTTACCGGCAGAGGGGGAAAAAACCGTTGAAATGTTACTCTCGGTATTCGTGAAGCGTGCACATGTTGATGCAATTATGTACACGCAAAAGTGCGCATGGTAAGGGAAAAAAAAAAAAAAAAAAAAAAAATGGTACACAGAATGCAGAAATGATCGAGCAGCAAAATGAAATCAGCTAAAATGCGAAAAAAAAATTGACCAACAATATAGGCCAGTGTGGGGGTCACTGTGCCAATGTAGTGGAAAAATTGACCGTTCGAATGGGCAGAAGGCTAAACATGCAGATGGAAATAAGCAGGTGCATTAATAGAAACGAATTTGTATAGCGCCCAAAGCGCGCGCGCATTTGTCCGTGGGAGGAAGAATTTTACGACAGTTGCGTTTTTTGCAGCATTTGGGAAGCTTGCGCAGAAACGCAGCTGTCGTAAAATTGTTCTTCCAACCGGGCGCTAAAAATGTGAGACAGGGAGTTCACGGGTGTGCACGAAAAAGGAATGCTATCCCCACTAGGAGAATAATTTGCTAAATGAGGGCGTCATGAAGTGGGGACTCAAGAACATACGTACCCCGCTTGCACACGCGCGTAGTGATGCTAAAAAAAAGAAAGAAAAAGGGCAGGCGAGGCAAGAATTCTTATTCACTTTTGTGCGTAATGTTCCCGCTTAGACAGTTTTTTGCTTACCAGGTCTGTTTTTGTTAATCATTATTAAAATGAATTACAACAAAAAAGCGAGAAGCCAAGGGAACGAACGTAACATGAAAAAATTAAAAAAAAAATTGCGTGAAATGAACTTGGCAAGGCGTTGCAAAAAAAAAATTGCAAAGTTTGGCAAGGATCCCCAATTAGACTACAAAAAAGTACGCAAAAAAAGGGGGGCCGTTGCAACGCGAGCATGCTGAATTTTATTATAACATGGCGAGCAAATATTTGTACGAAGTGGGGATGCCCAGTCATTTATATAGGGGTTTTGGGAGAACAAACTTTCCGCCCACCTCCCCCCATGCAGCAGCAAAATTAGTAGTCGCATGATACATCGGACGAATCCATGTCACTCGAGTTTGACGTAAATCCATATATCTGGTTGTAAATGGGAATCCTACTCATCTTATCCAACCTGCTTGCCACCAAACTGTTGTAATTAATTTTGGTGTCATTAAAATCGTTAGGGATGCATCTCAAGTATCCAAATTTGTACAAGTTGGGTTCGGACATGGACCTTCGAAGGTACTTCTCCCTCGCATTGTTGTCTATTAGGGGTACAATCAGGTTCTTCTCCCGGCATGTGTTATAGGCCGTTTGCTTATTTGTTGCGCGATTGATGTGTGTGTTGTGTCTCTGGCTGATGACGGAGTGAACGTATCGGTTGCTCCTATGCTCCGGGGTGAAGACGTTAAAATCATCTGTAATTCTGCTAATGGAATCGCTCTTTAGTGAGTAATCAATGGAACGTGCCTCACAATGTTGATTAGGAACCGTATAATTGGAGAAAATTAATTTTGGGCTTGATTTCATTATGTTATTTCTCATAGCCGATAATAATTTAATTCTTTTAAAAAGTTTTTTTTTTATATATTTTTTTTTTTTTTTCTTATTTTTTCCTTTTTTTATTCTCAAGGTTATATCTGTGCAGGAACTGCACCTCTTGTTGATAATTCCCGCTTCCTTTTTTAGCATCTTCTCCAGGCCCCCCACTAGCAGACTTCTATTGTAAATCAGGCCCGAGTCTGAGCTGTAGCTGTGGCTGCAATTGTGGGAGTGACTGTGGGTGTTACGGTGACTGTAACTATAGCTGAGTCTTTTTTGTGAGAGATAAGGGTTATGTATGGGGGGCAGTTCGCTTCTTGCTGTTTCTGAGGGGGGGTCATTGGCTTCGTTCTTTCCACGTCCGGTGGCTGCGCTCGTTCTACCTACTTTGCCTTGTGTGTGCCCCTTTTGCTCCGTACACGACAATCCCACTGCGTCCTTGTTGCTATCGGAGACGTGTTCCCTGCGTAGGGCTCGCAGGTCCAGTTCCTTTCTTCCTTTCACTAAAAGGTACAGATACTCCTGTGCCTTCTTCTTTTCTTCAATTTCTTTCTTAATCATATGATTGATGAACACTTTGAGGTTTATGTTTCTGTTTAGAAGATTCCATTGTGATTCACTCATCAACGAAGCGCTTGGGAATTTGGGCCGCAGTACGCTTCCAATAGGATGCTCCCTTTTTTTGAGCATGGTGTGCTTTAAGTCCCCTTGCGTGTACGCCTGAATGTGGGATCCTGTCTCCCCCAAGTTTTGCCTGATGTTTTTCCTGTCTTGCTGCTCATTATTGTTTTCGATTCTGCGTTCCTGCATTATCTCCATCCCCGCGTCGCTTCCCTTCGGGTAGCTTCCCGTCCTATCTGTCCTTTCATCCCCATTCTGCGCAACATCATTTCTATTCGCTTCACTTGAGACAATATACTCGTGCTTGTAAGGTCTACCTTTCGCCCTTGACTCACAAAAATTTGTAAAGACATTTTCGTGTCTTGTTGGCTTACCCTCCTTGCGCCATCCATCGTCTTCCCTTTCATCTTCGATCCTGTTCATGAAGTTCCCATTTACAGGAGTCTTATTCACAATGTAAGGAGAGGCAGTTTTGTCCCTTCGGCTACACATGGAGGCAACTTTTAACGTCTTCGCTATAACTCCTTGTATGACTTGTTCATACAGATTGTTCTCGTGCCACTCCTCTGAGTTACCCCTTCCAAATAAATCTGCATTTCCCAACATGGAAGAAACGTTTTCACGAGTTTTAAGAAGCTGCGCATTGATGTTCGATCGTTTTTCATCTGACTTGTTCACAAAATTTTGGCAATCCTGAGTTAGCGAAAATTTTCCCTTTTCGGTTTCTCCATTTGTTGCTTCTTCTTCTTCGACGTGATTTACGGGATGGCAATTTTTATTTTTACTTTTCCAAGAGGAATTTGTTTGTACCTGTTCCATGTCGTTTATGCTTCCCCCTGTCTGGCGATTCCTCCGATCTGTTTCATGCTTAGTCGTTATCGCATTATCACACTCTATATGCACCGATTCGAATCGTACGATTTTTGCCTCATCGATGGGGTTATCCGTTGGCACTTGTTCTGAAGTGTCATTCTGTTTAGTTGTGTTAGTTGTCTTTTTCGGTAGGTCTACAAGTTCGTATTCATCTGTGGAGTGAGCCTGTTTGGAATGCTCGACCAAATGTATTGGGGCAACGGGTTCCTTCCCCTTTGAGGGAATTTCCGAGTGGTGGTCACTCGTTATGTTGTGGTCTATTTGAAGTGCTTCTAACGCTAGAACATCATTTCCCACGAGTCCGTTTGCACTTTCGCTAAAAGTGATTATATTCGCCTGTTCCTGAAAATCGCTTCCATGCGAATATTTGGCTGCAGCTGGACCATCATCCGTGTGGTCCACGCTGGTAACAGGTATGGGGGGGATATTGAAATGGGGACTTCCCCTAGTTCTGTGGGCTACATTCATAGGAAGCGTCTCATCTAACCAACCACTCAAGCACACCTCTCTGTTGTGAAATCTTGCCACTGGGGTGCTACATGCAGAAAGGATCATTTGGTGCCCGATGGGTGAATCGGAGTTACTAAAGTACTGAACTTGATTCCAGATTTTTTTTTTTTTTTTCTTCCCCATAAATTTGTTAAGGTGTTGAAATGCTAATCCGTCATCACTTATCCCTTTTGGTGATCCATCTGCTAGCTGGGTTTCCAACGACCCTGCCACGTGACTTGAAAAAACATTACTACTTTTGCGCCTCGCTTTGGTACTTTTTAAAAATTCAAAATTTACGTACAGATTTTTTTTCTTTTTTTTTAATTTTTCCTCCAAAGCGGCTGAGTTGGATTTCTGAAGAATGGGACGACAGGAATTTTCCCTGGGTTTACAATTTTCAGAATAGAAACAAGTACTAATTTCATGGGGCAAAAAATTCATTCCCTGAATGGTGTTGTTTAGGATCTGCATGGAATGAATTAAGTTTTTAAGACCAAAGATATATTCATCATCCACAGATGGGTTATCTTGTAAATAAATGGTATTGGCAAAATCTATCATTCGTATGTCTAGCGAATTTGATCTCGCTTTTTCGTCATTCAGTCCGCCATCAAAAACCCACAGAAGGGAAGACGACCAAAATCGATAGTGTCGTAACTCCATTATGCAATTAAAAAATCGATGTAATTTTTCTAGCAGTAATGGAATCAATTCGTCGTACAGTAAGACACCATTCCAAAACCAATTTCGAATTGCCCATGGGATATTTTCCTTTGTTAAATTTCTACCCCAATATTTATCTTTATAAAATAATTTGTCATTTATTTTGTTGTAATGTTGGCAACCGCATAATCTAAATCCTAGAGAATGGCTAGTTGTTCTAAAACTTTTTTCTACTTGTCTTTTTCTTTTTTCTAAAGACGCACCTATTTTTCTTTGTCTTTTTCCCATTTTGATGTCCAGCACACATGGTCGCTTAAATCCGTATACGAGATCTTCCAAGACGATGTGCGCGATGTATTTCTTTCGCTTCTTCCCCTTGGCGCACTTGTCACTTTCCGCGTCCTTTTCTCCTTTTTCGGGCTCGCCGTGAGGTGGTTTGGCTACCGGTTCGTTGGGCACTTGGTTTAACCGTTGGTCCTCCAGTTCGTTTCTCCCATCGCGCCCTTCCAAACTGAAATATTTTCGACCCTTACTACCACTCCGTTCATTTCGCGTGTTCTTTTTGTTAACTAGGTTGTCCTCCGTCTCGGACGAGGAGGAATACTCAACGACGATTTCAGTCACTCCATAAAACTTGGGGATGAATTTTTTCAAAATGTGTAATGGCCCCGACTCCGCGGAAGACGCTCCAAAGTTCGCCAACTTCTTATAGAAAATGTATTCATTTTCTATAAGCGGTTTGTACACTTTCGATGAGTCCTTCGGTTTTATCAGTTTGCAGTGCCCCCCAACCTGGTGTCTGTATTCTTCTACTCTCATTTTGGGCACGCACGGGGAGAGAAGCGCCGACGATATGCACAGCGGGGTGACAGTTACGTCTCTATGTAGCCACGCAGTTTTGCTACTGCTCCAGGGTGTGACAATCGAGCCCTGATTGCCCTTGCACACAATTAAAAAAATTCCCTGCACAAATTGCTGTGCGCTCCCAACTGCTTCATAGGGCGAAATTGAATGAAGTGACCTTTCTTTCTATTTACTCCTACTGTACTTGTTCTTTCTTTTTTTTTTTTTTTACATTTTGTACCGCTCGATGATAGGTAATTTGTCAACCTAGCACCATTTTACGGTTACAATTTGTCCCCCTGCCTATTTTCGTAGTGTTTGACTCAGCGGCATAACTGTCAGCAGGTGGGCACACATGAATGTTTATATGTATACACGAATGTGCACGACTTTTTTTTTTTTTTTTTTCCTCTCCATATGGGACACATGATTTGATTAGTTGTCACTTGCACCTGAATGGCACTTATGCTGTCATGCACTTTCACGTGTTCTCGTCGATTACATGGAGACGTGCGTCTGACATTAAACTAGGACGGGGTCGATTCTCCTCACATTGTTTCATTCGAGTGGTTTTCTCATGGGTGCACACAGGTTGGATTATCCGTGTACATAAGTACATCTACCAGCGCACATGAGGACATACAGACGTGGAAAGACACGCCGGTACATATCTGTATGGGTGTGCGCGCTATAGGTACAGTTGAAATTGTCGCTCTTATTACACCCTTGCCCACAGGGGATACATACACACAAGTGGGGAGAATACTCTGGACACAAAATCGTTCACTATGTGTTTTGGTTCATTCCTTTACCTATGCTTCGTGTGCGCGTGTAAATAATTTACAAAAATTGTGGGATGTAACAAGTACACGTTAATGTGGTGAGTAAAAAAAAAAAAAAAAAGAACGACAGAAAAAGAGGGAAAATAGCTTAAAATGTGAAAATATTCTGACTGTTCATAATTTTTTTAACGATCAGGTGGGGGAAAAAAAAAAAAAATAGCTAAAAAACAGTTAAAAAAGGAAAAGTCAAAAAGTGGCACAAAACAGGAAAACATCAAAATGGTAAAACAAAACGCTAAACGAACGTTTTACAGCATTTGAAAATACAAAAGTGTCAATGTGAAAATATATTTTTTTTACTTTCACTTACAATGTGTCATTTGTCATTTGCTATTTTTTCTTTCACGTACTATGGTAAAAATGTTTTCTTTGCGTTTCACACAAATATTTTTCTTTTTTTCTTTGTTTTCATTTTTTTTTCTTTGAAATTTTTGTCGAGCGTGTATGCAGAAAGCCCGGACACACATGCATGGTCCACAATTTGAAGTTAAAAAGTCACTTCTTTATCTATTAAGCAAAAAAATGAAAAAAAAAGCGTACATTACGTTGTACTTTTCGTTGTGTTGGGCATCGCTGCATGTAACAAGTACATAACGCGGGGCCATAAAAAAAAAATTACACAGCAGGAAAAGGCAATACCTAGTCATTTGTCACCACGTATTGCTAATGCGAACAAGGAACCAATACGAAATTAGGGACATGTAAGAGTGAAACTAATTTCAACATTCCCCTTTTTCCTTCTTTCTTTCTTTTTGTCACATATATGTGTGTCACTCTATTGGGATGAACAAATGAGGGGGTCCAACGTATCGTTTACCATCAATTTGATGTCCAAAGGAAATACAATTGGCATAACTAGTTCTTTTCTCTCTCTGTTGTGGTGGAAAAGTATGTAGGCAGTTTTGTTTTCCTTACACAATATCAAAATTGAAGAAAAGGAAACCATTTCCAATCATCGTAGCGGCCCAACTGACGTGAACACTGCTATGCGCATCAGTGGACGGGGCAATGTACAAGTGTGCACATGAACGGGGCGTCGCTGGCAATTAAATTTTAACAAAATCGATGAATAAAAAAAAAAAAAAGGCAAAGGAGGGGATTTATAAGATACACAGTACCACAGACAATGCTGTGATGATCCCCCCGAAAAAATCGCACTTATGAAGTGTAGGGACAAAAGATATGCTCAAAAAAGTGTAGATAAAAAAAAAAAAATCGCGAGTTGCTCATGTAGCAAAATAATATATTTTAAAAAAATAAAAATGAGAAAAAAAAAAATTTTTTCACGCCCTTTTTATGTACCTGTATATGAGGTAATCCCACTCGGCCTGTCTGTTGTGCGTTTCTACATTCTTTGTTCCTATGGCCTGTTCTGTCATTTGTCTTTTTATCACCTTGCAAAAGGTTGACGGTAAAATGAGCGGCCAAGATTGAATTGATATTTCACTTCGAAGCTTTTAGAAGCTTTTCCAATTTTTTTTTTGTGATTACCTCTCCGTTGTCCTACTTTTTCGCCCACACTTTGTGATACTCGTTCCGCAACACAATTGTCTTATTTGTCTGAATGTCTTTTTTCCTTTTACCCGAATTAACACTCATCCCGACTTATGTCACGCAAGCACACGCTCGGATAAGAAGCGGTGTGAAGGCCTTGAATAATTACGCAGACGCGTGGGTACACTCCAACACACACATGTACACACCGATAAGCATACAAAGGAAATTTCTTAAATTCGCCGAAAGGGTCAAAATGGAATGCGTCAGGAAGGAAGAGCCCAAGTACAAGTTGGTGAAACTCATCGGCAAGGGCACCTTTGGGAAAGTCTACTACGCTATTGACCTGTGCACGCAGGAACCCGTCGCGATTAAGCGATCCCCCAAGTGGTATGAACAGTGCGCCGTGTATTCCTTGTGTGCGAGCAACATGCCTGCGTTTATTGGGCATTGCTCGATGTCACGGCTCTGCCACGCACCCACATGTGGGCGCACCGACAGACAAACCTACTATCCCCCCCTTTTTTTTTTCCTCCTCTGAACCAGGAGGAACAAAGTCTCGAGGGAAGTCGACCTGCTACAGAAGATGCAGCACAGCGAAAACATAGTAAATTTAAAATCCATTTTTTACACCACGACGGAGAAGGGCTTTCGTATACAGAACATTGTCTTCAAGTACATGACGTACAGCCTGGGCAAGTATATCCGATGTAAGAAGCAGGAAAGGAAGGAAAACAAGTGAGCACAAAACAAATAAATAATAAATAAAATAAATCAGCACAAAAAGTAACGATGGCCATTTAATTGGTTTGATTTTTGTGTTCATCTCAGGAAGGACCGTATTGCCCCGTCTGACTTAAAAATCATCATATAGTAAGATCGAATGAGAAGACCCCTTGCATGCGTGTCTTCGCTTCGGCACATGTTTAGATGTTCCATATTTGAATGAAACGGCTAGCCAAATAACTGACCAAACTGCGGCCACACATGCTTCCCCCTGGACTGTCACCTTAACAGCCAAATATGCAAAGGGATCAAGCACCTACACGAGCACAATTTAGCTCACAGGGATTTGAAGCCAGACAACATTTTGGTAATGGCGACACAGGATAGGATCCGAGCAGTGATCCACACAGCTGAAAACAAAAAAAAAAAACATGGAACAGCTGATTCCATGGCTGACCATCAAAATAGACACAGAACTGTGCATCTTCCCATTTTCTTTTTCCAACCATCCCCCATTCCTCCCTTCTCTTCCTCCTACAGATCGATACTGGCTCATCACCCTTTAAAGTAGAAATATGTGATTTGGGTAAGCACAAAAGAAGAATCACATTCTTTGCTTTTCCGCCATTGTTGACCCCAATATAGTTAACCCCCCTTTTTTTTTTTGTTACTCTGAAGGATCAGCCAAAAAAGTTGAACAAAACATCATCTCGATTCCATACATATGCTCGAGATGGTACCGGGCCCCTGAGCTGCTATGCGGCTCCATGTATTACACGGTTCGCTTGAATTCTCCATTTTAAATTTTCCTTTTTTTTCTGTGCCCTCGAAAATGAGTATATGCGCATTCCCGTACTGATCACCCCCCCGACACCCACTTTTACCTTTGCAGACGGATGTAGATCTATGGTGTTAGTTACAATTCAATTTCCATTTTGGCTTACGAGATGGGACCCATTTTGTATCTTTCGTGCATTTCTCCGCTTTATTCGTATATCAATTTATTTACTTTATTTCATATTTTATTTTTTCTGTTCAGCCCTGGGGTGTATAATTTTCGAGCTGATAAATCTCTGTCCCCTGTTCCCCGGGAAGTTCAAAAAAGACGAGTTAGTACTTATGCAGAAGGGCGAGATTGAGGGGTTGTGAAATGTCTTCGTTTTTTTTAAAAACATGATAATGAATATTTACTACTAGTTTGAATTAAACCTGTGACCTCCCTACCCACTTCTTCCTTCCCTCTTCCAATATAGCATATCCGAAGAATGCTCACAAATTATAAATTTAATTGAAGTGTTAGGATCCCCTCGAATGTATACCGTTGAGAAAAAGAGACAGGCGTTTAGTTAGCAGACGAATCGATATGTTCTAAGTGAAATAATCGCTTAAAAAAAAATATATATATATTTTTTTCTCTTTTAAGGAGTTTTTACGAAAGTATAAAGGCCCAAACTAGTAACAGGAACGTAAGGAGGCATTCTTCTGTTTGTGGCTTTTGCAACCGCAGCAGCTTCGTGAAACATTGCTACCTAGGCAGTCTTGTGCTTCACAACCTTGTTATGTTTTTTCGTCGCCAATTCACCTCACTCCCACTTCCTCAGATTCGCCTCATTAAGGAACTGTGCGGACTGAACATTCGGCCCCTGTCCTGGAGCTCCATCCTGGGAGGCATATTGGAGGAAAGGTTAAAATGGCCAAAGGGAAGGCACCCCCAAATTTAATTTGTTATAACCGTCCTTGATAATACATGATGTGAAAAGTTTGGACAGCGCGGAAATGTATTTACACGAATGGGACAAAGTCCAATACGGAAACACACAAAAAAAAAAGAACACAACTCCAATGCCGCTTTTTTCTTGCCACATACCTTGCCAAACAATGTGTGCTTTCTAACCGTCATTTGAGTGAGTTAAAATCATGTTTCTCATAATACCCTTTGCAGTGAACGGGAACTAATCGGCATCATAGATGGCCTTTTAAAATGGTAAGCTTTGTGTGTGTGACGTTGCACACGCATATAGTGTGGGTGTCTGTGGGCATAGGGTGCACTTCCACCATCACAGGTGGATGGTAACGTCAACAGTGCTCATGATTGCGACTTGTTTTCCCCCATGGGAATCTTTTTAATATACAATATATTTTTTTTCTTATTTTAAGGAATCCAAATGAAAGATTAAAAATTGACGCAGTTTTGAGTAACCCTTACTTTGCTACATGACGAGGATAAACAATGCGGATGCATAATAAGGGGAACTGAAAAAAAGAAGAAAAAAAAATGTACAAGAAATGTGCGAAAAAAAATGTTGTAAGCATGGTATAGACATAGACGTGGGGGAGTATTATACACATGTACAGAATTTTATAAGTTAGGAAAAATGTCTAATTTATGTACCAAACAGGTGTGAAAATATACATAAAATGAGTTTTCACTTTTTTTTTTTTGTTTTTTTTTTAATTTCGTAACTTTTTCTACATGATCAGCTCATGCGACAGTGTGGCAAAATTGCACTCTGGTTTTATTTGCAAACTCGGAAGCTTCGCAATTTTTTTTATTTTTTTAGTTTTTTTTTTGAGCGTGCGCCTTTATAGGTACGAAGAGGCGATGTTGATTGCTTCTCTGCGTCACACTGTTTCCATCGTTGTATGTCTTTATTTGTCACCGTTACGTCGCTCTTGCATGGCTTGCTTTCCTTTCCTATGCAACAAAATTTGACAAAATTTGTCTGAACTGCTGCTGATTATTCGCGTTCACGGCCTGCACGAGGGTTAAAAAAAGGAAAAAAAAAAAAAAAAAAACGATTACATATGTAAGTACTTATATGAATAGGCTTATCACCTAAGTGAAAGAGGATATGCGTACGTTTCCGCTGAACAATTTTCTCTCGCCGCACTTACTTGTAACAAGATGCCGATATCGTTTCGGTTATTCTTGAAGACTGAAAGTAGCGAATTCTGCAAACATATTTGAGCGCTCTCAAGAATTTTGTTGGGGAGACAATTGGCGTTCACTTTAAACCCACAGAAGAGTCGGAAGATGTTCATCACCTCTTGGATTATCTGCAGTGGGGAAGGGGTAGGAGACGTGGAAAGGGGAGCGCGCGTGGAGGGGTGCAATCGGATAACAGCACAATTGCGTAATTGTGCACGTGCATGGGTACAATTCCACACATGTACATATTTGCCGCGTTGTTGTGTGTGCTTCCAAACGTCACCGCGCGAGCTCCAGACGGAAATATTTGCATGCCTGTATAACCCTCTTATTCTTGGGATCCGAATAATCCAGGGACTTGAGCGTTACGCAGAGCGTGTCGATGATTTGGACCAGCGGGTATTTGCTCAGCACCTGAGAGGGGGGAGTGGGGAGCGGGTTCGATGTGCACAATGGTGTAAAGTACATTCTCACAACACGGCGTGCGTGTACACTAGGAGGGAACATGGTCAAAGGTAGGTTCAACCCCATTCATGGAAACATACCTCGTGTGCATTATGCAAACAGGTAGCATTGTTCAGCATGTTCGAAAAGGTCTGAGCTGCATAGAGGCAGATATTCAGATCGCTCGTATTGCTATAATTTAAAGAGACAAGCAAAATACTGGTAATGGCATCTGGGCATTTTGCCTTGACCATTTCTTCATTCGAAAAAGCTTGGCAAAATTCTTTATGTGTTAAGGCAATCAAATCGGTGGAAACAAAATTGTGTATTGCTGATGGGATGTTTAAAGATATGTTATACAATATTATGAGAAGTGGCGATAGTACAGAGTTTTGTTCTCTTTGCATTTCCAACGACTGCACAACTATGCACTTCCAAATGTTTAAGTGAATCTGCGTAATGTTCTGTATGTATGGCTTAATGAAAGTATCATAGGATTTTTCTTTATAGGTCGATATTAGGTGGCACACTAGTACGCTCAATTCGCCAAGTTCATTAAACAGATATTTCAATTCTTCCTGGGAGTTGGCAAAGCAAGCCGAGGGTTCATTTGGTGAACCAGTTCTAACAGCTGCATGTGATGATGGGGTCATCATGTTGAAAGAAAGTAATGGATTTTGAGTCCCTAACGCTCCTTGTGAGGATGCTAACGCACTACCAGAAGTACTTTCCCCAGAACCACTACCCTTCTGCAATTTGGTCATGATCATGTTATACGATATGTTGTAGAAGTAGGGCAGAATTTTTATGGTGTAGTTGAGGGAAAGTTCCTTAAATAGGTTGGATAAAATTCGGTATGTGTAGAGGACAGAATCCCTAATGATGTAATTTTTGTAAAACAATTCTAACGCTTCGCTGATGATAATTCCTAAGGTGTTGTCTAGGTCGTTTATCAATTCGTCCGTCATGTTAATATTTACATTTTTGCATAATGCACCTATACATCTTATTACGACACTACAGGTGAAACTTAGACATAGGATCTCATGCTGTGATTTGGAAGAATTTATATATACATTTTTTATATTGGCTAAATTTTCTAGTAGTTTATTTAGAATTCCCTTAAAGAAAAAGATTCTGTCTTTATAATTTGGGATTAGTTCTTCATTGATTTTTTCATTTCTCGTGTTCAGATCTGTGCAGATGGTTTGCAAGGGGGTCGTGTTATTTAAATCTTTCGGGTCTCCACTTCCACTATTCGTACTGCCCATTCGGTTAAAGCTTACGCTGGACTGGTTGCCTCTTCTGCCTTGCATTCCTTGGTGTTCCATAAGGTGCATCTGATCGTTGGAATCCCCTTTAGCGGTCCTCTTTGCTCTACTATAATCATAGTGTAATAGAAGCAAGCCTGCAATTTCATAAATGTCGTTCTGATCCTCATGGGTGTAATTCACATCCGCGTAAATATATTTGTACATGGATTTTATCGAGTCCTGGTCAAGGGATAGCATGTCCGCCAAGGTGACACTACTGCCACTGTTACTTCCTGTTAGGTTTTTATTACCAAGCCGCTGGTACACACATGGGATTTCTAAGAAGCTCTCCAGCATTTGCAAAATATCTTTCATGTAGTTGCATATGACAATAGAGTTTGCTTTCAAGAATTTTTTAAAAATATGCACCGACTTTTTTACCACCTTATTTTTACTGCACCTAATCCCATTTGTAATAAAAACATGAAGGGAGTATTCTACGTACTGTGGATTTTTAATAAAAAAAGGGTTCAGTCTTTGGAAAATTTCCATAAGGTTTATATTTATAAGGCTATTATTGCAGCTGAGAATTTTTCGATTTTTTAATAACTCCTCGAGACAGCCAAAGAGCAAGTTGTTGTATTCTCCATTGTGCATATCTTGTACCTCTTTGGACGTGTTCCCACTTGCATTCAAGTGTGTTGTTCCTGTGTCTGCTTTGCTTAGACACGTGGTGGACATTGCTGTGGAGGTGGCATCCCTGGCTGCAGTAGCACCCGCCTGAACGGTGCTCCCTTTGTATTCAGTATAAATTGACGTCGTGATGTAGAAGGCGTACAGAGTGGACTCTATGGTATTCCATTTCAAATTGTCGAAATTTTCGTTCATGTAAATAATTGCATTTTTAATAATTTCAATCGCTTTCAGCTTGTTAAAGAGGATTAATCTTTGGAAAAGTTTTTCTATGTTCTCCCTGAAGGTGTTGAAGGTAATAAAATCTTCGTCCTCCTCATCGTAGAATTCTTCAATATATGGTGGGAATTGAAATTTGTTAACCGTGCTGCATATCAGGGTATTAATAAAGAGGTTCATTTTGGCCTGTGGGATTTTATACCCATTTGGCGACACTGCAAGTGCTCCCTGTTGAGCGCTAATCCCTTCCCCAGGTGACGCAGATTCCATTATAGTCTTAAATTTGGTGAAGAGAAGACTGAAGAATTTCTCAACCGTGCTCGCCACGTTAAAGTCATCAATGGCGTATATGTCCAAAGCATGTGGTAAGATCAGGAATAGCATATTCGTTCCCTTGTCACATATTTCGTTGTACTTTGTGTTGTTCATCGGGTAATCCTTGAGTTTATTTATTTCGTGTATGGATTCTACTAACTCGAGGCAAATATAATTTACGAGCTCTCCTTTCTTTAACATAATTTTTTTGTTCATTTCGTAAGACATGTCCAGAATTTTTGGAATATTTTGCAACACATAAATGAGATTTATATTTTCAATGAATTGAATTTTGTTTACTGGATTCATTCCTTTACGTACTAGTGCGGTTAAGAAGGAGAAGCTAGCTTCCGTCATGGAGTTATTTTGCCCATTAATGCACTGATAGATGTGGGCGAGAATTTTATCGTTGACCACATAGTTGATGTCAATCCAGGTGACATACTTGGAGAGGGTAAAGATACTAAGGGCACTTATGTCTTCCACGTTTATGCTCATTATAAAATATAAGCATTCGATAATAATTGGCAGGTCGTTATTTTTAATTGCTTCTTTCAAACTGGTGGCTACCTGAAGGCCTTTTTTAGAATACACGTTGTCCATGTATTCTACATCTAACATGTTCATTAATTTGAGGAAAAAATTGATATACAAACTTTTTACATTCATGTCATTGTTAACCATGATCAAATTTATTATGAACTTGAACCCATCATTCATGTTGTTTGGGTAAAGAAATTCTATCAACGAGATGTACAGCTGGATGATTTTGTTCACTACACACGGGTCGTCATTGGCTGTTGTGTATTTACTTTCCAAATAATTGTATAAAGAATCCTTCACATAAAGGAGGTCTTCCCCCTTGAGTGTCTTCAGCTTCTCAATTATAACATGGATGCAAAAAAACTTCACCTCTAATCTTTTGGAGTCGAGAAATTTGGCAATGCAGTACTTCCAGCTATCGGCGCTGTTCTGAAAGTTCTCACAGTACTTCTGTGCATCTCCTTTGCTGATCCTCGCACACTCATTTCCATACAGGCACAGAATGGCCACCTCCAGCTCGTCCATGGTGTGGATGCGGTGTGGGGGTGTCAGCGTCGCGATGTGTTTACCTCGGTGCGTCTACCCCAACTAGAATTCCTCTAAAGCCCCCTTTCGATCGCTTCAGCACTTTCCCTTTTCTGGAGTCCCGCGTGAAGAAGTCGATCGGTGCGCTGCTAAGTAGGTATGCGAGATGGGTAGCTCCGGCTTGCAAAAACGATGGACGCGTTTCGCTCCAATGGGTATTCTTTCGTGCCCTCGGATGAATCTTCCTTCTGTCTGCACCGATCGAAATGGTCAATGGGGCCGAAAGATGGGAAAAAATAATTCAAGTCCGTACGTACCTATGTATATATATATTATATACTATTCTGTTGTTTCCCTCTTCTGAATGGAAATATGTGGTGGTTTTGCTCGCTGGTATTTACTACCACTCAGGGGGGGTCACAAATGTTCAAAGCTGCTGCTATATGCCAAATGGACGGCAAAAATAGGTAAAGCTGTGTCAAGGCGGGCGTGACTTATTATACAATCGGGCTCTTTGCGCATAGCTTGTCCGATTGTGCGCGTACTTTTTTTTGTTTATTTTTTTTGTTCCTTCTCTCCCCGTTTGCTGTCGTCTTCAGATGCACAGCACTTGGTTCCCACCTGTGCCAATGGGGAAAACTGTTCCGTACGCACACGACGCACGTGAGTTATACATCAATTGGGAAGTGCTAAGCGTGGGTGAGCGCAGGTGGCACAACTCTCGGTGGCAACTGGGAATAGCGAAATGGCAAAAATGTATATACTACGGGACGGGTTGCAGGTTTTTGCTCTAGTTGTAGGCTCGCTGGGAAATTACGCAGCGGCCACAGATTTCCAGGTTCTCCCTCGGCCGCGCGGGAACATACAGGCTGATATAAGTAACATTCGCTTGTGCTTCCGCTTGTAACCATATGCTCGTTAATACGCATGCCGTGTCGAAACGTGGCAGGCGACTCAAAAAGTGTTCCTCACAGGAAGCTACTTATATGAATGCATTTTTTTTTTTTTTTTTTTTTTGGAGAGGACGCTCTCGAAATGCGCCACAAGTATTTTTTTTTTTTTAGAGGCAACGGGGATGCACAGAGAGCCCCCTGCTGGGTTTCATTTCACTTGGCTCAGTTGGGTTTGTTGTGTTCGCCTTGGTTGCTTTGGTTGTTTTGGGTTGACTGGATTGCTTGGTTGATTGATTGATTTTTTGGCTGTTTGAGATTGTTTTTTTTTTTTGTTTGCTTGTACGGGTTTGCGGTTTTCTTTCATTTCCTCCGATTTGCCCCTTTCAATTTGGCAACGCTTATAAGTTCAATTCATTTTCAATGACAAAATGCGCGCTCATGCGTTTCTGCTAAAAAAACTATGTTACTGGAAGGAAAAAAAATTACAATGTGATGCGGAAAACAAAAAAAAAAAAAAAGCAAAAAAAAAAAAAAAAAAACAGGGCACTCATGTAATGTATGCATATATTATATAAACAGCGGATTTGGTTCGGCATGTGAGGGGAAACGAAAAAAAGTAGCAACCGCGCCCCATAAAATACTACACGTTTTATTATACGTGATGCCAAATAGGGATTGCCGCATATACGGCGGTGCGCTACGGCCAGGGGCGGGGCGCACATAAAGAGAAAGAATACTTTGTACATATGAATGTTTATATATATGTAAATAAACGTATGCATATGGGGTACGCATACGATACGCATATGGTTTATGTACGTATAGCTTATGTTTACGTATGTACTCACAGATTTGTGGCTTCTGCCCGCCGTAGCGCACTCCGAGACGACGACACCCTCCACTTGTCCTCCGAAACTCCGGATGGTTCACATGAACATTTTGTAAATGCTTGATCTACAAGAGGCAGAAGGCTGCATGGTGTGAAAAGTCAACGTAAGCAGTTGTACGGTTAGGTGCTTACATGTGTCAAGCGGGGGGCTTGCACATGCGCGGAGGCGGGGAAAGCACCGAGATTTCTTGTAGTCGATGTGGACCTCGTTTGTTTTGTTTTTTTTTTTTTTGTGTAGTCTCCCTCTCCATACGGTTCCGGCAGCGTACAATGCGGAACAGCTGCATAAACGGTCTGGCGAAACGGCCCCGCAAAAACAACGCATGCGTGTAGGGCCACACACATGTATGAATCTTTCCAAGTGTTGAAGAGCCCCGGTGTATCGCGCATGTTGCATGTCCGATAAAGTCGTCCTTTTTTTTTTTTTTTGTTTTTTTTTTGTTTTTTTTTTGTTCTCATTAATTCCGCGGTTTGCGCATTCTGTTCCAAACGACCCCCATACCCACGCCTTCCATTGCCACTTCGCTGCGTTGCGACACCTCCCATGCCCACTTCGCCATGTTGACACATTTTATTAAATATTTTTGCACAACATAATTTTTTCACAAGTGGCTCATTTGTGCGCACAGACAAAGGCAACACATTTTATTGTCAAATCGGGGATAGCAGCAGCCAATCGTGAAAAAGGCTAACTGGTTCACTATCTCCAAATTAGGAACCTTGCTTGGCAGGTAAGGGACCACATCGCGGTGAAGAAGCCACGTAATGCACTCTCATTAGGGGAAAGTATATACCTGTGCGTAATTGTATAGCCACGAGTGGCGCTGCCGACTTTTGTTGCGGCAAAAGGGGACGCAAGTGGACACCTCACTCGGAATGACCATTTGGCCAATTCGCGTAAAAAAAAAAAAAAAAAAAAATTTTCAATTGGGAAACACAAAAGGGCGACTGTGTAAATATTTTAAGAAAGCCAAATGAACTATGGCAATGGAAGTGAGCAGTTGGGCTGTTTCAGCAGGGTGTGTTGTGCAATGGAGAGAGAGAAAAAAAGAATATATACACATACATGAACAGATATTATACACCCATAATTTTAACCGTTTGTATGTGGGAAGGCATTGGGAAGAGGGCGCGGGACTTAACATTTGCTCGGATTGATTATTCACAAAAAAGGGAATGTAAGAACAAGCATAAGAGCTAGCAGTGATTGAAGGAACCTCCTTGACTTGGCATCTTTTTGCTGGGCGCCTTCATTTTCCTTTTCAATCACCCGTTATGCACAATAAGTAACCGGGCAAGGGGGACGTCCATATGACAACGGACGCACTTGTATTTGTTTATCTGTTCAATTTGAAAGGTCACATAAGGAGAGATACATTAGTGCTTCCTAGCTACTCCAGATTTATTATCCCTGTTTTAAGTTTAGCCATCCGCCCCACGTCCCTCCAATAGGACTACCCAAAGTTACGCCGTTCCAACCCGTGTGGCTCACTTGAGAAACAGAATAAACGGAAAAGTATACACAGCTTGGCTGTCTTGTTGTAATACCTCTTTCCAAATTGTTCACCACGGCATGGCTTTTTATAATTGAAGGGTGTGTGAAAGGGCGGATGGAGTCTTCCCGTCCCCATCCACTGCGTTGTGAGCAGCATGTATTTTGTGCCAATTTTTTTTTTTTTTGTTGAGTGGATGCTCCGGCAAAATTAGGAGGGTACACTTTCTCCCCCCAAACATACACACACATATACACACGTCGCACGTAGTACCTCTACCCATTGTTCCATCTGAGCTGTCCAACCATGTGGAGAGGGCCGCGTGAGGAGTACGCGGACGAGTTCGAAAGCCTGTGCGCTTTGGAGGAGCGGGCGCAAAAGGAACTGTGCGTTTTAGAAAAGCTCATTGAAAGGACAAAGGGCAACATAGAACAGCTAAATGATTATATAGACCGAAAATACAACGAAATAAAAACCCTAGCAAGTAAAAAGCCAACAAGGATCAATTGGGAAAAGGCACAAGGGAGAACACACATGTCCATGTTTTACCAAAAGGAACATGGATTTGCTCCATCCAATGAAGACGCTTTAAAAATTACAGAATTTCAAATGAGTATGTCAAATTACCGCAAAAAATATGAATATAAAAAAAGCGAATGGACGAAAAAAGAAATTGATCTTTTGTTTGAGGTGGTGGAGAAAACTTGCAAAAGATATGCCACTCGATATTTAGTCGATCCAAACTTACCCTACGATCTCAAAGTGCAAAAGAGAAAAGAGATCGAAGATAGTAAGGACGTAAAGAATTTACTCTCCAAAATTAAATTACATTTTGATTCATGTCAGAGGTTGTTCACAGGAGGGGGAGTTACAGATGTCCCTTCAGGAGTACATCCAGATGGAATAACAAATTTTGCTGAATTTTCAAACCATTTTTGGAACGAAGTGGCAGCAAATTTAACCAACACACAGACGGCAAGAGAGTGCCAAAAGACGTGGCTCTACCACTGTTGCTTTGAAGATCCCAAACAAAAAAAATGGAACGATGAAGAAAAAGAAAAACTATTAAGCTTGTGTAAAAAGTATCAAACAAGAGAGTGGACTAGTGTAGCTAGAGAATTAAATACAAATAGAAGTCCCTTGTCCTGTTTTATGGAATTTATAAAGTTAACAAAAATGTATGAAGATTATAAGGACAAGGTCAAACTTGAAAGAATAGGGTTTAACCTTTTGGAGGATATACAATTGCAGATATTGGTCTCTATCCTTGGTGACAAAAATTGGAATGAAGTGAAACTCCACATGGAGAATCTCAACTCTAATATGAAGCGCGTTCAAATGAGGAGAAGTGGTTTCAACCCTTGTGGAGGGGAAAAAGACAAACGAGTCAAGAAAAAACTCAATGACGAAATATCCTACAAGAGGAGGTATCTGCGTTTGGTGCGCGGGAGACGCGATCCGCACTGATAATATATGCGGTATGCGCACCTTCATTCCACCTCTGCTGAGTTTTTTTTCGTATTTGCCATTTTTGCGTCTCCGCTGTGCGCGTGGGCAATTGGATATGCGTGATGGTTAACGCTTCATCTTCAAAGATGCGTCTCGTCAAATGTTGAAATGGCATTTTGTGACCGAGTAAATAAAATAAGCAGTCACATGGAATAGACGCATCTGGAGGTGTGAAAGTGGGATGCGTATTGTTTTCCCCTGCCGCCAGATGTTGTAGTGACTGACGATATAACTTCCAAACCCAAAAAACTTCTCAAAGACCCTTCATCTCAATTTCGATCTGTTCGTGTTCATCGCTAAGTTGCTTCTTGGAAAAGATCAAGTACCCAGTGTGGGTCTTGTTCTCCTTTTGTCGGAGCCTATACATTGGGTTTCTTCCCTCCACTGGGACCGCCTGGCAGTTCTTCGCTTCGTCCAAAGGGTCACTCGTTGGATTAGCCCCCTGCAGGTTAACATGGCTGTCTCGTTTGGTACCACCCGCAGACACTTTATTGCGCATAATTTCCCAAGACTTGTTGACCAGTTCGTAGGTAACAATTTCGCAAAACTGATTTTCTTCTAGTGCTTCAATAATTTTGTAGACCTGTTCAATGCAGGGAAGGAATATTACGAAAACGCCTCTTTCCTTGAGAACCTTTTTAATGTTAGGAACACAGAGCCAAGGATTAGGCATGTCCAAAAAAACAGAATCTATTTCTCCCGGTTCGAATTCTTCAAAGGATTCATTTATCACATCCTTGTGGTGAAATTTGATGTTATTTTTAACATTTTCAAAGTTGGAAAATTCGTTTCGTACTTCTTCATAACGCTCTTCATTATATTCGTAGGTGTGAATGATTCCTTTGGGCAAAACACAACTGGCTAGTGCGTAAGTCAAGCAACCTGTCCCTGTTCCAGCTTCAATTATTTTCTTATTTGGCAAAGCATTACACAATAGGCAAATAAATGATATATCATGTTCATATAATGTTTGTGTTTTTTTTTTCAAACTTAGGGCTATAAATTCAGGGGTCCTTCTCAACACATATATATAGTTCTTACATGCACTGTCGTATATTTTGCTACCATATGTCTTTCCTATTATATCCTTATGTAGAAAGGTTCCTTTTTTGTTCGTCAGGACTCCATCGCTTGTGAGCTTCACCAGATCAATATTCTCTTCGTCGGTGTATAGAATAACGCTGTGGTTTTCTTTCACCAGCATGTTGGAAGGGATGCGATGCGATTAGTAATTAATATTGAGATGTGTCCTCATAGGAAGCGGCAAAGCATACATGTCTCTTTTTGTTCCAGTGGGTTGGCCTTCGTCTTCTCTTGGGTTTGGTGTGTGAGACGTCCCTAACTTTTCGTCACTGCTGCCACTTCAGCTGCGCTCGTTAGTAGCGCAAGGTGGGTAGCTCGGTAGGTTGGTACCTGCGATACTGCGATTGGGCCTACAACTCAGCATGTAACCTCATTGTCTGATTTTCTTCTCATGAAGTGTTACGTCGCCTCTCTTCGCGTAGCAACGGTAAGTGGTAAATTCTGCTCCTATAAGTGCTCGTGGGACACTGTGTTGCTATCTCAAAGGGGGGGGAGTTGGACGAAAAAATATATGGTCCCTTTGTTCTGCAATTTTTATTTAACGCTTGATTCATACGTTGGAAGAAGGGCCTCTCCGCGAAGTGCAATCAATAATGAGCAGGCTTTTTTTTTTTTTTTTTGAATAATTTTCCCTACGTAAAAGAAGCACATGTGATTACGAAGCCGAGGCATGCATTTTAAATCACAAGTTCCTTAAAGTATTGAGGTATAAAAACGTTTTTAGGGGGAACGAGGTAGGGTAAGCAGCAATGCACAGCTAAACTTGTTGTGCATTGAGAATTAGAGAGTGAGTGCTTCTATGCATACGCACAATTGTACACGCCTGCGGTTAAACGTGTATGCGAAAAAGTCTCAGCGGAAGGGACAAAAGGCACTCGGAGATAACAGAAGCAGGGAAGCGACAAATGGAGAAACCCAAGTGACAGGTCGAACCTGAAGACTGTATAACTGAGTGCGCCCACAGGCTCGGCTACAAATTCCTGCCATGTGTAAATAGATGCCTGTGCACTTTTCTGTGCACAGTTTCTTTTTTTTCTCCTTTTACGGTTCCTATATTTTTTTTTTAAAAAAAGGTATGGGGGGCACACAGAATAGGATGTACTTGGCACCACGCACTATGTAGCTCGTAAGTTTTATTGCCATTTGGTTTGTGCTCCACAATCATAGGGCACATACATCCCTGCTGCAAGTTTTTCTCTTTTTGTTTTTTTTTTTTTTTTTCGTCTCGTTTGTTAAAATGTGACAACTAATTAACAGATACAAAGTATCCTTTTCTCACTTTTTGTTTTTTTTTTTTTTCTTTTTTCTGGCACACCACGTTATTTCACAGGTGAAAAATATGTTACGCAAATTTGCGTACTCTGACAATGCCTATGATCACGTCGTTACATGACCACCTTCCTGTGTGTTTGTAAACAACACAAGTATGCAGAAGATTGTGAAATATCAGTCCTTCATTTAAGTTCCGATTTTTCTAAATTCTCTATACGAGATACGTTGGGTTGATTGCTACATGAGAAGAAAAAAAAAAAAAAAAAAAAAAAAAAAAAAAAAAAAAAAAACAGAAAAAAACTGAGCCGCTTCCTACAGAAATTTATAGAGTCGAATAAATCAACGCCTTTAACCCAAAAATTCAACATTTTTTTAAAATGGAAAATAAAAATGTGTATTTGTACATACCGAATATCATTGGTTAGATGAGAAACCTGTATACGTGCGCACCCATGTGGGTGCACAAGGGTGTCCACTGCACCGTTACGGCACTTTCGCTTTTACTCTATCAGACGAGCACACCACAGGATGCGTGTGCGCACGCTATTGTTCATAGATGCTTGCTGTGTTTATATACCATTAAGGCATGTTTATGGATCCATGCAACGACTCATTGGCATCCCGCTCTTTTCCCCCTCCCTCATTTCCAAAGGCTACATCCGAGTGATACTGGCTCTGTGGGGGTTCATGATATGTCGGAAGAACCTAATTCTGTTTGCCGTTCTTTACACAGCGAGCCAAATACTAGATGCCTGCGATGGGTGGACGGCGAGAAAATTTAATCAAAGTGCGTACAGCTAGGACGGAAGCAGCGCGCGCGCACGGCGAAGAGGTGCCCACATACGCATGTACATATGTGCGTACACATGTGTGTATTCATTTATGCATATTAATGCACGTGCACATATTATTTCCCGCAGCCTCCATCTTCGGCCAAATATTAGATCAAATCACCGACAGGTACGTCCACCATTTGGGTTCCGGCAGTGAGATGGCCATTATTTTTACTTTTCGAAAAAAAAAAAAGGAGAAGTATAAATGGCTCACTTTGCTTAGTATTGTAGGGAAACAGGACGTGACTGTAAAATTTGCAATCATCGTGTGTAATCACCATGCGCATTTTTTTTTTTTTTTTTTTTCATTTTGTTCCCTTCCTGTGCGTCACTGTAGATTGTCGACAACCCTGCTCTACTTACTCAATGGAAACGTCTACGAGGAGTATATTATTCGTAAGCTCTCCCGAGTGAACGGCATGAGACAAATTGCGTAGGAATATGATGGAGCTAACACAACAGTGCGAGGAGGAGAAAGCCGCAGTTGTCGCTATGCTTCCCTGCACATGGAATCTGTGGTGGTTGTGTCCATAGGAGCATGTGTTCCATTTTGTGTGGATATACTAAATGATGCTTTTTTTTTTTGTTTTTTCCTCCACCCCGCAGCGATAGGACTAATCATGATTGCCGACATAGCAGGGCACTACTTTCACTCATCATCGTAAGGACGAAACTATTTTTAGTCTGTTCTAAATGCTTAGGTGCAAAGTATATGCATGCACGTACTTGTGTGTGCATGCGCCCCATGGCAAATTTGCCCCTTTCATCTTCAGATGCGCCATAGCGGGAAATAAAACACACAAGAAAATCGAGAAGGGAAACCGGTTGCTCAAGCTGTACTACGAGAGGCCAGGTAGGCATACAATCGGGCACAGAACACATAGGCGCGCGTACGAAAATGCGCATGTATACGTACACATCTCTGTGCATATACACTTACTCATGGACAAACCTTTGCCCCTCCACGCAGTGGTCATGGTTATTTGCATCATCGCGTACGAGTCCTTCTGGTTTGCGGCCTATGCGTTTAAGATCACGCCCCCACGTGACATCATCAACATAATAGGTAAGTTAAAAAAGAGGAAAAGATAAAGGAGTACACAAGTATGGCACATCCAACTGAGGCAATGCTACCGTGCGCGTGATTTTTGTGAGAAGCGCGTGTTGCCTCATTTGGTGTTGTTTGCCCTGCTTCTGTTGTCCATTTTGTGGCTCATACTCATTTTGTTATTTATTTTATTTTTTTTTTTTTGTTTGTTAGCCTATTACGTCGTCTTATGTTCCTCCCCCCTGGCGGCATTTAAAATGGTACACAAATTGGCAGAAGATTAAATTGAGTCGAGCATTTATGTGCCATGTTACGTTCACACACCTTTTCGACCATATTGTTCCCCGCTTTTGTTACTATGCATGTACCCGTTGTGCGCTTCACCTGCGTCATGTGGGTTGAGCAGACCACATTCGCGCGCACAAAGGTGCGAATGGAAATAGGTACATAAGTTCATATGTGAATACACACACAAACATCCCCTTTCTTTTTGGCTAGTTCACGAATATCTCGCAGGGAATACACGGCGTAAAATGCCTAGTAGATATGGACAATAAGAAGAAATGAAAGGGATAATTTCACCACAGTTTTTTCACCTTTTAGTTGTGCACTGTACGTGTTGATTCATTTAATAATTCTTTGATTTATTTATGGATTTTTTTTTTTTTTTTTTTTTCAAGCTTTTCAAACTTATGAAACCTCTTCAACCTTTTGAAGCCTTGTTAACAAAATGATACATTTTAATATGATCAGATCAGCTAGAAAAAAAAAAAAAAAAAAAAGTAATTATAGTGTACACAATGTGAAAGGGAAAGGAACAAATACATTGTGAGCACATTAATTAAAAAAAGAGAGTTGCATACGTGTAATTGCATATACATGTTTTAACCCACGTTTTGGAAATACATTTTTTTTCATGCGTTATATGGATGTGCTTAAGTTGTACGCAAACAGTGTATACTTTTTACGAGAAAAGTATATTATTATGTATGTAATGCTGCATGTGCAACGTTAATAATAGGTACTATTTGCGTGAATTTGCGAACCTTTGCATATCACTGCATGCCCCCTGTAACCCCGCAGAGGCATTTTTGCTGCACGTACGTAACAGCACCAAATAAAAGTACAGCACCATTTTTGTTGAAACTAAAAATGTAATGCAAAATATATTAGCAAGAAGGTGTAAAAATGACGAAAAACCTTCGTAGCGCAACAAAACGTATTTATATACGTATGATGCAGTGCTTACACGAAACACAAAAACAAATAACAAACTAACGAACTAAACAAAACATCCTCCTGTTTTAGTTGTCATTTCGTTTGTTATATTATATATATTATTCCTGCGTGTAAAAAGAAAAAAAAAGAGGAACATTTGAAAAAAAAATTTGTTTTTTTGTTTTAAATTTCAAAAAAATTTTAATTTACATCACTGGAGCAATTTGCGTATCCTTTGGTACATTAATTATGTTCGTCGTTTTTTTTTTTTTTTGTTTTTTGTTGCACTTTTTTTTTTCCTTTTGTAGCATTTTAAATATAGCGAGCGGAATAAAATATGCAATAGCGAATTCATTCATTTATACTAAAACATTTGTACCATACATTTTGCATACAGCATTTTAAAACTAAAAATTATGTCAATTTTCGGAGTTTGTGTTACTTTTTTGTAAGTTAGGTAAAGCAAAAAACACAAAAAACAACAAAAAAGAAAAAAAGAACAAAAAAAAAACGTCCATCATATTTGTACAAACGGAATTAGAAAATTACTTGCAACAGATAAAAAAAAAAATTATTTGAATACTTAAGGTGATTCAAACTAGTATACTTTCTAAAACTTTTTCAGTAGAGTTTCATATTTATATCTATGCTGAATTATTACATTTCCGAACAAGCCTAAGCGTCAAAGATCAATTTACATTTTTAATTCAGATAGATAGGTATATATATAAAATACCTAAAAATACGTGTAAATATTGAAAAAAAAAAAAATGGCTAGCTCTTCGGAGAAGCATAAAGAAGTAATTAATTTGGAGGATGCCTTCAATCTGAGCATTATAAACAGGGAAAGTACCTTACTAATTAATAATGAAAACGATGACGAGTGTTTTCCGCATGCGATTCTCATGGACCGGAAGAGCATCGACCTGTTTAATATGGATTTGACAAAGGTTAACTGCGTGGGGCATACACACACAAGGATATAAACGTGTGCGCATCACTGCTTTTGAATGCGCATTGGCTTGCAACGCTGGCAGGTGATTATTGTGCCCGTAAGTCGGAAAAATTGTTAACTCCCTTTTTTTTTTCTTCCTCCTTTTTACCCTTTAGTACCAAAAAAGCGAGTACAGAAGAATTTTTAATTTGAACTCACGACAAATTACTGACGAACCCAAATTCACGTCTGAACCTTCGGCGAATGACAAATCATCCGTATGAACTGCACACCCTGTCCATTATTGTTTTTTCTTAAATTCCATGTTCGTGAAAATTGCTCCTGCGCAGCATTTCATTTCCCCTTTTTCCATTTCGTCTACTGTTTTATAATCCATACTCTTTTCTTTTTTGCATATCGTAGGATTCTGAAGATAACGAAAAAAAAAAAAAAGAGGAGGATAACACTTTAATTCCTCGAGTTCATACCATTTTGAGTTTCTTTCTGCCCTTTATAGGTTTGCTAAAAGGAGAAAAAAGAATAACATGTTTCTATATGCATATATATTAGTGTCACTTGTTTGACACGAATACACGATAGCACATGGAATGTGTCCACATGGGCAAGTATGTGTCTGCCCAGAGGTGCGCACACTATGTTTTACGTGTTTTCCATTTATGTCTATCCCCCCCCCTTTTTTTTTTCTTTCGTTTCTTAGGCTGCCTCTCCTATTTGTTTAGTTTAAAATATGACGAATCTTCGCTCAGACGTAAATATGCCAGTCGGGCGTTGTGTGTTGGAAGCGCCTTGAGCGTCATTTACTCGTTTGTCATCTGTTCCTTGTTGGGACACTACGTTTATCAGTATAACTCTGAAGACTTGCATGGATATACATATTAGTTTTATTCTGTGCATTTGTGAATGCGCATGCAATAGTATGTACGCACCGGGGTAAACACAGGCGTGTGCATCGTGCATCCCACATTTGAAGTCCAATAATTCGTTGTGCGAGCACTCTCCTTGTGCACTACTCAAACGTTGCCATTTTTTTTAGTAGTTTTTTTTTCATCATGAGAGTATGTGTATTTCCGTTTGGGACGATTACCTGGGAAGGCGCAGTTGTCAATTTTAATTTTAAATAGAGTTTCTTTTCTTGTATTCTGCCCACTCAACGTACTGTTCTCATGCTGCTTACTCTGCTATGTTTCCTTTATTGTATATATTTTGTACATTTTGCTATTTTTGCCATATTGCTACCTTTTGTTTATTTTCCTTTCCTCTTCATTCATTTCATTTTAATTTAACTTAATTAACCTTCATTTATTTAATTTTAATTAATTTATTTTAATTGCGTTTTAGCAGCGGTGTAGTTCGGCCCGGCTAGCTAAAAGGATGCGTAAGCGCGTTGCATAAAAAAAAAAAAAAAAAAAAAAAAAAAGGTAGAAATTGCCTGAACGGGTTATGTTTTTTTTTTGTTTTTTTGAACTGTGCGACTATTTCTCGCAAAGGGCTATATTGAAGCGTACAAGGCACCAGTGGTAGATAGAACAAAGACGTTAAATGGTCGAGTAAAGCATCCAACACACAGCGGGGTATCATACTATTTCAGTTACTTCCCGTTGTCCCCTGCAAAAGGATGTTTTGATCTGCACACACAATTCTTTAGCAGGTGTACTCGCCACCATTTAATTGCATAACTCGTGTATTTATGTACCGTTATGGTGACACGGTTATGTCCTATTTACGTACATGCTTTTTCGCAAACACGAAACATAGTATCCTGTTTTGCTTGCATGCGTAGAACACAGGTCTTTCACACACAGATCCTTGTTCGAATCATTTCGCTTAGTACCTTTTGTTTTTGGCAAATTTTAATAAAATTCTCGTAAGGTTGTTCAATTTTGTTACATTTTGTCAAAAGTTGCTAAAATTTTTCAAAACCGTTTTGTTAAATTTTTTGTGCTCAAAAGGGGGATAACATTTTTTCAGTCTCCACACGCATATGCATGGTGTGTTGGTGGCGCAAAATATAATGGGCACATGGTTGAAAACTTTTTGTTTTGTTCAGCTAAATAATTTGAAGGAACGATTAACAGGTGCCCTTGCTGGCAAAATATACCATTGTACTTAAAATTTTGTGAAACCAAAATGCTATATTGAAATGTGACCAGCGTGCACAATGATGTGGCTATATGTTGTACGCATGCGCAAGTGTATTTTACGTAAACATTTGCACGTTCGCAGGTTAAGTATAAAAACAGTTTCCCACCTTTTTGTATACGTAAATGTTTTTATTTCAAGGTACACACAACAGAAGAATTTGTCCCCCTTTCTCGTTCTACAATAAGCAGCATATGCAACTCCTCCTTTGAACTGTTTCCAAGGAGTTATTCGGAGAGAGTTGTGCACGTGCAGCACGCTACCTGCATGTGCCGAGGATGTGTGCATATACATACATATATAACCATATATGCACTAGGGGAACACTTGCTAAAATAGGCAACTGTAGTATCTGTACGCATTTGTTCCTTTAGTTAACCTGGCCCGCATGGAGGCAAGAGAAATACAATAGGCGCGAGGATCTACAATCTTTTTAGAGCATACGTTTCGTTATTTATGTGTACATATACACATAAGCGTTGACGGGCAGGGGGGGAACGGTTCATTTCTGGATTTCCCTGTTGTGAAATATGTCCATGATATGCCCCTTTTGCCAAAGCATGTGCGTCATATGTAAATAGGACCACATTTCATGCATTTCTTTTCCGTTTCTTTTTCTTTTTTTTTTTTTCCTTCTCTCTTTTTTTTTGTGTTTTTTTTTACAGTTATATATATCCTTCAGAGGGTGTTTTACAATATTTTCCCTTCTGCACAACACAGCGCTGGAATTCA